CGAACGGCGCTAGGGAGACGGGGCACGGTGTGGCGAGGAAACACTGTCAGATAGGTCTTCCGAGGGTCAGGGTTGAAGAAAAACCTGCAAGGTAAAGCAAGCAAAACGCCATGAACCAAAAGTTCCAGTGAGATACAAGCACTCACAATAAAATATTACTGGTGCGGTTGCCAAGCATTACAACTCCTCAGATATTTTGTTTTGTTGCAGAATGTTTTTTAACTTATGTTGATTATCTGTCTTCTTTCACCCACGTCGTTTAAAAGGTACCGGTGACCAATCACATCAGTCAGATTCACTGGGTTAATTTCAGTCCAATACCTTATTTGTGTTGAATCATCTAGTCTCTTGATGTGCCCACCAATTGTTGAGGAAAGTATATTTGACGGAGGTTTTTCGAGTAACGATAAAGAAGACAAAACGAACGAAACTATCGAATACGAGCTCGTGTAGCAGTGCCTGTCGTGTGGCACAGGAGACACAAATAACATGGCTAGCGGTTGAGCGGAACTTCTAGAACATAAGGAATCAATTATTGCGTGTCACATCCATGAATTCGGAGCAACATCATGGAGCTTTTCAATGTTGACTGTCTACCCATGAACGCTGTCACCAGCACGGGAGTCGATGCGAGTTGTTAATTTGCATAGTTGAGGATCGCGGGGAGAGGGAAACCGATATCGAGGGAAAATAGGGAAGGGAACAACTGTTGAAGAATTATCTCAATTGTTACTCTGCACTTGGTTCGACGCTAGCTATGGACAGTGTGGAATAATCATCTTTAGAGCGGGTACTGGAAGGTAGACCAATCGGTAAGCAAGATAGTTACTAGGGTTCTCGATCAACTCTTGAATTCTAACCTAAATGCAAGCGCAGTTTAGGATAGTCTGGATGAAAACCATTCACTTATGTACATCATTTATTCCCTATTATGTTTTTCAACTGAAGCTCTAACGGTTGTCGAATCAATAAACCGGATTTAGTTTGACATCCTTCCTCCCAGTGTTTAGAATCAATTATTTCTGCGACCGGTCCTTGAACCGCACAAATCATCATTCCCCGTAGATTTACATCGAGCTCATGATTTGGTGCTTCTTTTCCAGATCATGCTTCCAAACGCTGTAAAATCACCCTTATCACCTGGACTAAATATGCCATTTCTCCGACGTTTGCGTACGCGTACGCGTTGTTTTCAATCGCGCGCGAGCGCACACACACACAACTCTGAATAGCTTGGGTGAATTGACTCACATTCCTGTCCTTGTTAATGTTGCACACATTAGTGCACAAAAGTCGACCATCAGTGCACACGAGAGAGATCATGATGACGGCGCGTCTACACAAACAAGCCAATGAACGGGGCAAGGACGCCAAGTAAATCATACCTTAGCCGGGATGATTGAGCCTTAAGGTAGTGAGGGTGTGTTTTCCTACGCTAGACACTAATATGAATCACAGTCCACGATCTGCCGCATGCTACATGGAGCTCTCTGAGGCCCAGATAGAGCTCGTGTTTTGTGGAACCAGACTTCTCATTATCTGATCCAAATCGCTGTGTATCCGTTGTAGACTTCTTTGGACTTTGTCCAGTTTTTTTCTTACACTTGTGATGAACAGCAGACGGGTAAACCCCATAATCACGAAGACCTGCTGTTCACTGATGGAAACTGGTAACGTATGCTCCTGGACTTGGAGGGCCGAATCACATAAGGTTAGGTGTGGTATTGAACTGGACGATAACAAAGCTGCTTACCACCAAAGTTGGGTGGCGTTGGCGGGGCTCGAACCTCTGACTATAGGGTCCAAAGCACGCCGATGACAGTGACTTATCCACTGCGCGACCATCACCCTTGGGGAATATAATGCATTTCATATTGCATGTGTTTGCACTGGCACTTATTTGGAGTAAGTACATAGAGTGAACGATCAATCAATAATTGAGACGACCGGTAACGAGGAATTAGGGGCACTCGCGATAGATGTCGAACACGTAGGAGGATGACCTAGATCATTCGATCATAAATATGAATCTTTTGATAGAAGTACCACAATGATAACAACAATGCGTAATACTGTTGTTACAAAAGCCACTTTACTTCATGAAACGCTCCAGTAAAGAAATTTCATATTAATGGTACTTATTTACTATAGATTACTTACTGATCTTTTGGTATTTCTAAATGGCATTAAAAAATGACTAGTTTCACGGGCCCATGTCCTCTTTCTTTTCGTCATTGTGTGATACACAACTGAAAGGAGTGATTTTCGTGGTCACAGACGCGAAAGACTACTCATGATCATTGGCAACGTTGGCTTTCAAACTTAGTTTGGCCAATCGTAAAATACCCCGAAAGCATAGCTGTGGTATTGAGCCGAACTTTTGGACTGTGGCTGACGGGTTTCAGCGAGGACGAACACCTGCCGTGTACATTTTGTCAGTTATCACACAATAATTCCAATAGAAACGTCCCCCACACACCTTAAAATAGTTACAGATTATCGGAGTATTTATCATAGTTCCCTTCTTGCCGAGCAGACGTTATTGTTATTTCGCACATCTCAAGTGGGAGCTTCAAATTTGGTGGTAAATTTCAAACAGCGTGAGTTACTGCCACTAGCATGCTCCGAACGCTAAGATCAGAAATTGATACTCTGCCGTCACCAACCATATTTGGTGGCAAGCCACTTGGCTGTTGTCCAGCTCAGTGCCACAGCTGTCCTTATATTGTTCGGTGCTACAAATCCTAGGGCTGCGCATTTCCGTAGGCTAATTGTGGATCCTCTGGGATATCTGATGCACCACTACTACCGTTGTGAAATACTACTCACATTTGTGAGTAGCGCACACGAAGACGCGGTTAAAGGATTCTCGCTCCTATCTGGGAGCAGATTTGAGGATTTACTATCGTAATTACACGAGAGGCGGGGAGATTGCTGAAGTATTTTATCACTAATCAAGAGCTTTTCATAAACCATGCGTCGACTGTTGCAGATTAAGTGTTTCGTTCTATATGATTCGATTTGCCCTCCATCCATGTCATTCCACCAACCAGTTACTGGTATTATGGAATTGTAGCACTACTACTTTCACTGTTTATCACAATGAGGTGTGTAATGCAGAAAAGAAGAATGAATGAACGGCGACTCAGTCTGTAAATTGTGGATATCACTTCGCATTTAGCTCGAAGTTACTTGTGAGTAGCGGTGTTGGATAATTGCTATTGATTTGAACGCTTGATGATCAACAATAATGTGGACAAAATCGATTTTCTCCTGGAAGCAATATTTATACAGAAATATAAAACTGCGTAAAACGACTTTTTATCTACCTGCTTGTCAACCACCAATGTCATACTTTCATGGCTATCGACGGGTTAATAACGTACCCTCAAATAAACTTTTGTCAGAAATTTTTAATCAGTCACGGGGCGTAGCTTTTGCGGATTTGCTGTTCATTTTGAACAGCATATCCGCAAAAACTACTACCCGTCTTGCTGACTAGAAACTAGTGTGACGGAAATATAAATTCGGGGTGGATGCAAATAAATGCTTAAATCAGAGGTTGCCGGATGCACATATCTGACGACAGGCGATCATCACGAAACCGGTCATGTGCTTGCAGGGAAATTTTGTACAATCGTTTACATGCTACATATTACAAAACATTCAGATGTTACTGAGGCTTGTTTTGTACCAAATTACGAAATGCATAATCGATCTCTTCGATAAATCGGTTGAGTAGGAGGAAGGTTACATTAATGATTAGTAATACGAATATTGGTACCACTTATTATGATAATAACAATACATTCAAAACAGCTACGGTAAAGAGAGGATGGTAAAGTGAGGATGAAAATGGTGATCACAGCAGTAATTATAAAAACGCGATCTTGACAATACGTTATCACTGCCATTTATCTGTTCCCTGATGGACCGACATTCCAAGTGATCCACATTCCGATTCGTTTCACTGAGTTATACACCGTCCCTCACTGCCACGCACAAGCGTACACCAGTATAGTCATGTAATCTCTGCTTGATTACATATGCATCGGATAGCCTGCTTATTTCTCTTTCACTGTTTAGAAGCTGATAAGAACAGTGAGCTGCGTAGTTCGATTGAGGGGGAGGCGGTTGTAATTGTGTCCAATTGGAATGGGGTGGATTACAATCCTCGTCGTAGTTGTCACACCGTCGGGCATTTTCATGCTACTCACGCTTGTGCAAACGCAACACACACACACACGAACGTATGTAGACATTCATTTCGCACGTGATTCGGAATGTGATGCAAGTCACTGTTCCTGCTCGACTCTTTTCTCATATCCATACTGTTCGGTTAGAGATTCGTCCTATTGGAGTTCAGTGCAGCCACCTCTCTGGTGCACATTTTGCTTTTATCATCGTCCCTGCCGTTCACTCCAAGTTTGTGGCCCCTGCGTGTTCGTTCAGATCACCACTGATCTGGCCTACCTTTGTTCGACCTCTGGCCTCCTCGTTCTCCTGTTTTGCATAACAAAAAAGCGTGATCACTATCCTTTCCGGATTGGCTGATCCGGTTCGATTCTATTCACTTTGGCCTCGGTTTGTCTTCTTGCGGTCATCTTTCATCGGAGCGAACACCACATGCCGTGCTTGTTTTGTGCGCGCGCCCGTGCGTCTGTGTGTGTGTGACATGATGTGTTTTGCGACCCTGCCATGCTCTCTCTCTCTGTCAGTCTGAGAATTGAGAATTGCAATACTATTCCCGGTCGNATACTATTCCCGGTCGACCGACTTCCGGTGCTCACAGTTGGTTCTGATCCCGTTCTCGTTTTATTTCTCTCTCTCTCTCTCATTGACCTCCCGATCTGAATCAGTTTTGGATTGCGTATCAACGGGAATCCATATCGATCCAGCGATTGTTTGGTTTTGGAGCCGTCCGATATTGTTGTGGTAAGTTATTTCTCTCTCTCTAGTCCATCTGCTGTTTCATACAAACCCATCTTCCCTACTTTGATTTAGTATAAACCATTGGTTTTTGGGTTACAATCCGATGCATTTTGTATGACTAGCCCTTTTTCATTCACTATTTTCATCGCCCGCTGGATTAGTATTCGAGTCCTAATGTTTTCAGGCCAGATTAGGGGTGACTATCCTCTGATTGGCACATGAGTCATCATCTTTTGGAGTCCTATTCGAATTGCTCGGCTTTGGATTACCGGTAATGTGTAGTGTACTATTCGCTACACGATTTCGCACTGTGCCCTGAAAACTTCCAATCCTCGTCCGGTTGCATTTTCGAAAAGGTGTAAAAACATTGCTAGTACTATCTGAGACTGAGACACACATGATTAATGGAGATTGTTCGTTTCAGCTCACCATCCCCGATCCCTGTGTCATCAGGTTGCTCTTATTCACACCATTCAAGACACCGGTTTCTTCATTGCTGGTTCGTGGCTGTGATCCCCTGGGTTTTTTTCCTATTCCGCTTTGTGTAGAAATCAGATAAAACAGGTCCCCGAAGTATACTCTCGAGAAGAAATGCGTGCCGCCGGGCGGTGGACAGGAAATCAAATTCCTCAATGACCAGCCAACTAGGGCTACTGGATTACACCGCGAGTTTCCACAGTCTGAGATGTGCCACTATTGTGGCACTGCCGAAATGATGATACAAGTGATATTTAATTATGAAGCCAACAGATGTTTTTTCGTGTGTGAAGTATCTTGTAGGGGAGTATACTGTTTCATATGTTCAACTATATCAACTTTTACGGACAATCAAACACTTTAGCACAACAGATCCACCTCATCCAATGAGGTACGTCTATCCCATCGACCCGGTTGGGACTCTTAACAATGCATCTTTTCGCCCTTCTGTCATCAGATTTCTTGGCAGTGAATTGACGTGAACCGATGAGGACCGTGTAAGTAACTTATCCACATTAACCAGCTAAACGGGACTTGAAGCATTTAGTCGCACGTTCAAGGTTGCATTCCTCATCGCTTGTGGCACTGAAATCCGTGGCCCTCTGACTACTGATATGGAACAAGCCGCACGTAAATGTCAGCGTTTGACAATTTGGTATGTGTGCTGAATCGAGGTCATATGGATTGACCTTGAAAATGAAAATTACGTAAAAATAAACATATGCTACTAGTTTGAATAATTGATTTCCGTATGGGCGTGAATGATCACACGTGTGCGCTAACACCATTTCGCTAAGAATGGACCAACGCTGATCGATACGGTTCCATTGTCAGAAGACAGTTCAAAATAGTGCCAGGTCTCCTTATTCTAGCTCTATTTTTACCTTTTTGGATCCCATCCCCGGGACAGGCAAACAGGTATACCACAGTGGATAGACTAAAATTTTCGTTTTCGTAGCTTATCAATTGCCCATTTCGAGTTAAAAATATCCTGTACCAACTCCTCCCTCCATTCCCAAAATATGTGATTCCATCTTGTCACTCTTCATCCTACCACACTGCCATCATTTAGTCTGTGGTAACCATATGATCTAGTTTTTCGCGATCTCCCGAACTAACCCATGAGGTCAGCATATCCCCAGGAATGTTTTGATTGTGAATTATTTACCAAAAATTGGATAGATTTGTGCGTTTGTATGTGCATGACGCTTCCTTGGGGATGCGCGAGATGCGGCTTGGAGATATTAAGGCACTTTTTCAATTATCCCATCTATGGCTTGGTGGAACTTGTTCAGGCTATGACACAAATAATGTCTAC